GGTTTATGACCTATACTGCAGCCAGACACCAGGGGGCGACAGAGACGTTTTGGCTTCATTTTTTGGAAGCTATCGCGTCGTCCATGTTTTCTACAGTCATTGATCAAACACTGTAACAGATCTAAAACTACAAAAAGAGCAAAACAACACACAAAAAAATGAAATAAATGTAAAACTTCTTCAGCCATTTGAGGCACCAGTATAGGCTATTTGGTATTAAAATATAATAATAATTAATGGTGATAAATAGTTTTCCGCTTTAACACATTGGTTCTCAAACTTTCTGACATGCCAAAAGTACAAATGAAAAAATAAATAATTTAAAAAAATGTTTTGTGCCCACAACAAGGAGTTTGTAATTAGTCAAGTAATTAAACAGGCATTAACAAATCAAAAAGGTACAAGATGAATTTTAGTTAAAAGTTGACATTAAGAGCAACAGGCTCTTGTTTTTTAATGACCTTTACAAAAACAACAAAAAACAATCAAAAACTTTTTTTCCCATGATGCTTCAATACCTGGTCCATGTTCCACAGCTTGAGAACCACTGTTATCATGTGCAGTGCATGGATATACATTAAAAATTAAAACATTTTTACTGATCTTACTTTCTCAAAAGGTTTAGAAAACAGAAAGTGTCATGTCTTCATTGTTAGGTTTAAAGAAAAGAACAAAAACTTGATAAATAATATAAAGTGTAGAGTTAAAATACACACGCAAGTGTTGCTAATGCTAACAAGGATTAAAATTTATGTAACTGAATTTACCATACTCAGCTATGCAGGTAAAAGGCGAAAAATATCTTTACATCCATTATTAAATCTAACCACAGATTCAGCAACAAGATCCAGACAAAATGAGTCAACAGTTTCTATCCTAAAATAAAAATAAAACAACATGCTACTGTGGCCCCCTTGTGGTACTGAAGGTAAGCAACATGTGATAATACATACAGTATGCCCTCCAACCAGCCACCATCCAATTCAGAGTCATTTACATTAAATGTAAGAAAACACCTTAAGTTTTCCTGAACTGCAAACAGCAAATCAACAGATCTGTGAAAACATGAAAGTATAATGTGACCTTTGACACTGCACATTTCGTAAATTCTGTTTTTGCTGACTTTTCTTTCTGTCTTAAGTTTGTATACTCGTAGTTCACAAATGAATTCAACACAAAACAGATGATCAGAGGGTTTCACTGACATGACTTTAGAAGCTTTTTATAAATGGCTGTCAAATATGCTAATCAAACTTTTACAAAAGTGAAGCAGCCAAAACAAAAACTTAAGGCAGTACCAGAATACATTTCTAGTATAAAAATAGGTATTGTTTTAATAGCTATTATTAATAGCTGCAGTGCTGACATGTCTGCTTGACTGGTTTAAAACTGTAAACATTGTAAGTTTTATACTCAAACATTCCATAAGTACCATCATGACCACTGAGACTATGGAAACTGTGAATCAACAAGGCTAGAATATTTAAAAAAAAAAAAAAAAAAAAACCCTCAGAATTTAATGATAATAATTTAGAATATGCACTTAACACATGAAAACATAGAAAATCATTAAAAAAAATGTAAACTTGACATCACACTAACAAAATACCCACCTTCTAATCTATCACATATTATTTCAGTCACTGACCAATAGGGTGGGGAAAAAATTTTAACCATAAAACAATGAATGTTTATTAATTAGCAGTAAATTTCGTAAACCCATGTATGAAGTGTGACTTTATAGACTGGTCACTGCTCTCCACCTACAGCAGCTGGAGTTACAAATC